CTGCGAGAACGGTGCGTGCGGGCGGCCGGGAGCCGGGCCAGGCGGGGACTCTCTGCGCCTCCGTGCGCGCCGCCCTGGGCGCCTGCCCCTCCGCGGGGCTCCTTGCCCGCCTGGAGGTCCTTTCACTGGAGCTTGGAAGGTTAGCCCATGTTGTCCCCTTTTCGGCTCTCAGGCCCTGCCGGAGGTGGACCAGGGCTCTGGCTGAGGTTTCCTCTCCACCTTTCCCACCGCTGGGAGCTTGGGTCATTACAAGCCGGCTGTGGGGGGTGGGGGGGGCTGGGGTTGGGGGGTGGGTGAGCTGTGGTCTTTTCTTTATGGAGGAGTGTATAGTTGCTTCTGCCTTTGTGTCAGCTTTTAGAACCAGTCCAAGTCTGGCTATCTCCCTGTGTCCATGCTGGGCACTGCCCCTACAATCGAGGCTCTGAAACGTTCAGTTGTTCGTGGCGTCGCATGGTGCCTAGCTCTGTGCGGAGCCTTTTCCTTGAGGGAGCTCCATCTTCCTACTGCAGCTTGTCATTACAGTGTGATCTCCTTCAGCCTCAAACTTCTTCCCGTCTCTAATGATGCGTTCAATGCTGGCCTGTCTGTTGGGTGTTGCGTTTGCTTTTATTTGAGTTTTGGTTTCCTGACCAACCAGACAGACCATTTTTAGCCTCACCCAATCCATGCTCCCCAAGCCTAGCAGATTCATGGTGGAAGAGGAAGCTAGAGCCATCCAGTCTGACAGATGGCCACCCTTTTAAAATGGAATCGGCTTCTGTGATTAGCCCTCCCTGACTGTTTCCCCTTACGGATATGAACTTGACATTGTGGGTGGTGGTCAGCTCCTTGGGTGCCCGAGCCTCACAGTGGCAGCCAAGTCTACAGCAGGCCTTTGGGCCCGCCTGCTAGAGACACACCTTGGAGAGGGCAGGGAAGAGCTTGGGAACAGGACTTTCCTCTCAAAGCTGTCCTCCTTGGCTCACATCTTCCAAGATACTGGCTCATTTCTTGAGCAGGGCAACTCCCCAGATTCAGCTCTTAGGCAAGGATGCCTAACAGGAGTGAGCCGTGTAGAACAAGTCTGATGAGGGAGGGAGATGACTTCTTGTTGTCTCATCTCCCGGGGATTGTGACATGGATCTTGGGAAAGGAAATCCACCCCCCCACACACACACTGCAGAAGGCACATGGATACCCTCTGGTGGGTTCTAGACCCAACCCTCAAGCCAGACTATCAGCCTGCCCAGAGTCTCAGTTTCCCCCCGTGAAAATAACAGGTTGACAGTTGCTGCTTTCTGAAGGCTGTTCCCCTGTGTAATGGAGACCAGTCAGCTTTGCCTGTATTCTATCCTGCTGAGCCGCCACGCTGCCCTGCAGATGACCCACAGCCCAATCTGCCCAACCTGACACTCTGGGCATACATCCTCCGCACAGGAGCGTGGGACGTGGAGACACACTGCTGCTTGAAAAAGATCTTCCACCACCAGAGGTCACGAAGTCTAATGCCTACAGAGACTGAGGGGGCACGAATCTGCATGGAAAGCTCGGACCAGAGGACCATGTGGGGTGCCCCCCCACCCGGGAGGATTATTGAATTTTGGGGTGTTCTCAAGAAGTGGCACAAATTCAATGACCTAGTACAAAAAACAGCCCCTTGGGCCCAGGTTTGTCTATATTGCCTGGAGGCTAAACCCTTGGTATTTGTATCAGAGACTCTAAGTAGTATGAGATGGGCTGTTAGCGCAAGGTTAGAGGTCTTGAATCAGGGTTAACTCCCTGGCAAATGGTTGACTGATGGTTTGTGCCAGTGGATAAGTCAGTGGGCTGGTTCTGGGACAAGGGGCTGAATGGAGCCTCCTGGGGACTCAGACTTGGAGAACAAACCAAAGACAGATTCAGTGTGAGGTAGAAGGGATACCAATCCCTTCGAGACCAGAAGTAGGCTCAGGCCGGAGAGGAAGCCCTATGATGGTAGGTCGTTGGAGCCCGTGCTGCCTGAGAGCTTGTTGGACATCAATATAGTAATGGGGCTCTGGAGTCTGGCCGGCTAGAGTTTAGGCTCTGCCATAGTGTATTCTTAGCCAAAGTGCCTAACGCCCCAATGCCTCCACTTCCACAAAGGAATTGCAGATGGCACTTACCTGGCAGGTGACTAAGAATTTGATATACTTATGCATATGAGGGCTCTGGTGTGTGATTAACACTCTGAGAATGTGAACTAGTCTTTTAGGTTGGGCCCAGGGGCCGGGAGATCATGCAGTAGCTTGAGCATGGGGTCTAACTTCGTAGCTAACCAAGACAGTATTTTGAAGGTATGCCAAGGACCCCAGTGTAACTTCCTCCTGCTGGCCTTCCCATTTAGGTTCCCTGATCAGCACATACTGCTCGTCCCACCAAGTCCTGTGCCAGATTGTGGGTGACTTCAGCCCGGAGGTTCCCGGCAATGTCACTTTTCACAGCTGGCAGGAAAGGGTCAGACAGAACTATGGCTTCTACATCGGCCTGGGTCTCGCCTTCCTGTCCAGCTTCCTCATCGGCAGTAGCATCATCCTCAAGAAGAAAGGCCTCATGCGACTGGTGGCCACAGGAGCCACTCGGGCTGGTAAGCTCCTAAAAATGGGCAGGGATGGGACACCGGCCACGGAGCTCACAGGCAGTTTTCCTCCATGGGGGTTGGGGCAGCCGTTGGAAAGCCAGGCCTTAGATGGGTCCCAGAGTTGCATTGTGGGAAAGCCAGGGGACCCTTCTTTGATGAGAAATGGTTTCGTGCTTCCAATATTTCATGGGGTACTAATTGGGGTGATGGCAAAGGATGGTCCTGGCTCTACTTCCTCCCCGCTGTGTCACCTTTGGCAAAGCACAGCTTCGCACACATTCTCCTCTAAAGAATGGGGAGATACTGCCTGCACCAGAGTAGTGTCAGACCCTCGTGCGAACTCGCCATCAAATGGAGCTGCAAAGGAATCTGTAGTCTCCGTCTACAAGAGACTTGATTGTTTAAAAAATAAGATGTATCCGTGAAGCAATGTTTGAGAATGAATCATGTCCAAGATACCCATTCATTCAACTAGCATGTATTGTGTTCCAGCCGTGTGCCAGGTACCGTGTGAGACGTTGGAGCTGGGTGCCTTTGTGGTACATAGAGGTGAATGTGAGAGAAGAGAAGCAGCTCCCTGGTCGTTACGTGCTAAGATAGGGGAAATAAAGCAATGTTATGGGTACATCTTAGTGGGGCCAGTAAGACCCAAGCTTTACTTGATATTAGGGAGGTTTTTTGTAAGAGGTGACCTCTAAGCTGAGACCTAAATGGGAAGGAGCTATCAAGGTGAATGCAGACACAGGCAGAAGGAATAGCATGTGCCAAGGCTCAGGGGGTGAGGACGTGGGTGATGCCAGAAATTGAGCATTGCTCAGGATGGTTGGAGCATAGAGAGGTGAAAGATGAGGTAGGGGCTTGATCATGAAAAGTCTTAAAAAACGGTACCTCAGAGGGGAGTGTAACTGCAAATGATTGAAATGTGTTAGGCAGGAGATTGATGTTGCTTAATCTCGGATTTAAAAAAGTTTTCTGGGCAGAGAGAAAAGTTTGAGAGACAAGACTGGAGACTGGAAGACCAATGAGGAGACAGAGGTGACAGAGGTGAACTTGAGAAATGGCAATGGGAATGGACAGGAGAGATGAATTCCGGAGGTGGTTTGAAGATAGAACCAAGCAGCTCAGATGTTGACTGGCTGCAAGGGGAGGGGGAAGACACAGGAGCCAAGGATGAGTCAGGCCCCTGGCTTGAGCAACTGTGTAAATGACTGTGCTCTGTTCTGCGAGGAAGAATGCAGGAGGAGCAGGTTTAGGGACAATCATGCGTTCAAGTTGAGACATGTGCATTTGTGGGATACCAGGCTTTGGAACCAGACTACTGGGATGCCATTTCTGGCTCCCCCATTCCTGATGATGTGATCCTGGGCAAGGAAAATTTGCTTTCTGCGCCTCTACTTCCTTGTCCATAAAATGCGTGTGAGAATCGTACCAGCCCCAGGAGTTGTCGTGAATCCATCCACACTGTTTAGAAAAACACTGGGCACAAAGTCAGCGGTCTCAACTCTCACTTGCTGCCATCCGGTCAATGTTGACTTACAGCGACCCCCTCTGGGTTTCTGGGACTGTAACTGTTTATGAGAGTAGAAAAGTCACCTTTCTCCCATGGAGCAGCTGGTGGTTTTGAACTGTGGGCCATTCAGATCTCAGAACGCATAACCACTACACCACCAAGGCTCCATAAAGTCAGCAGTAATATTGGTTTTGTAATAATATTGTTACATAGGCACAGGGCTCAGCAGAAAGTTGGGTAGTCAGGTCTAGAACTCAATTGTTCTCTAACGTGGTGAGATGTAATGGGCAAGAGTGGAGATAGGTAACAATGGTTATTGTTGCTCTTTCCCTTTCATTTATGGATAAGAGTTCAAAAATCCAGACACCCACCTTCCAAAATGCCAAGAAAGTGCCTGCTCATACCTGGGGGAGAGCCCAGCGAGCTACCCGCGAGAAGGGGACTAAATAGAAGTATGATTCTCCATCCGGAATAGCAGCCCCTTCCTCCAATTTGCTTCCGAAATTCCAACTTTTAGAATAAACACTCTCAGAGTTTGTTCTTTCTTTGTTATTTTTTCAAACATTTTATTGTGAATCAAACCATCTTTTTGTTTCATTTTGTTTTTACGTTCACCCACTTAAACAGCTCATGAGCATCCTGCTTGTCCTCGTTCCTCCCCTTCATCCCCCACCCTCCTCCTGCAGTACATTATCATCCCCTTCACCCAAGTCAACACCTGTCTGCCCTTAGCTTCTCGCTTCTCCTTCTCTTCCTGCCCCTCCCACCCAGGGAGCCATCAAAGTTGGCTTCTTTCCTTTTTAAAAAATGTAAAAGTGGCCTCATTCAATATCTGTCCTTTTGTGTCTGACTAACTTTATTCAGCACCATGACCTCCCCATTCCCCCATGTCATGAAGTGTTTACTCTCAGAGCTCTTTGCTCTTACAGGCATTCTCAACAAGTGACCTCTAATTTATTGGCTTTCATGGGACCATCTAAAACCCATCTATCTATCATCAGTAGGAGCCCTGGCGGCACAGTGGGTTATGTGTTGGAGTGCTAACTGCAAGGTCAGCTGTTCAAAGCCACTTCCATTTTTGTCAAAGAAATGCCAGGAAATAGCTTCAAATTATAACTGGAGGTTTAAATCCACTCACAGGCACCTTGAAAGAAAGGTCCAGTGATCTGTTCCCAAACATCAATCACTGAAAGCACCACGGAGCCCAGTTCTCTTCTGACACACAGCGGGGCCACCTGGGTCAGAACTGACCCGAGGACAGCTGTCTTTTGTTTTTTTAAATGTAATGAAGACTAAGCGCTGAGTATTTAAGACAGATTCCCAAAGGGCAAGAATACAGACGAAGGCATCTTAAAGGAAATAGCATTCAAGCAGAGGCCTGTCGAATCACTAGAGGTCTCGGGCAGAATTGTTAAGAAGAATATCCCACGCGGAGAAACGGCTTGGACAAAGGCCCTGAGGCAGAGAAGAGCTCATCGTGTTTGAAGAATGAAAGAAAACCTGAGCCACGGGAGGCTGGAAGACGGAAAAGAGTAGCATGAGGGGAGTTGGGAAATGTAGTCGTGTCCAGACTCTAAGAGACTGTGTTACGGTCATTATCCCAAGAGCTATCACCAACGGTAAACTGAAGGATGGCATGGTTGGACCTCCATTCTCAAAAGACCACGAGCTGCAGTGAGAGGACGGGTTCTTAGAGGACAGGAGCAGCCAAAGGCACCACGAAGAAACTACTCCTCAACGCAGGGCCGAGGTGAGGGTGCACTGGTGCACCATGGTGGCAGCAGAGTGGACACACGCGGATGTCCTTGAGAGACGGCCAACAGGATGGACTAGATGTGGAGGGTGGGAGAGCAGAGGGGTCCCAGGTCACTTCCTCAAATATCTGGCACAAGCTCCTAGGTACATGGCAGTGAGATTTACTCAGTTTCATCTAGGGGTTAGTTGGAGTGTATTTCAAATCAAGAGCTCCATTTAGGACTGCATCATTTGAGGTGCCTACAGGAGAGCTGGGAGGAGATGTCAAAGGAGCAGGTGGATGTACACATGTAGGAAGAGCAGGGAGGTCCGGGGGACAGATAGGACATAGTGCAGCAGTGTCATACAGGTGGAATTGAAAGCCTGGTGAAGGGGTGACCTTGCCCCAGAGAGGTCTCAGGTCTAAGATCAAGGCACATTGGAGGGTTTGGAGAGGGAAAGTGGAGTTAGGAAAGGGATCCAAGAAAGTGTGGCCAAATTCTAACTCTGTGTCCTTTCCCCTCTTCAGTGGATGGAGGTTACGGCTACCTGAAGGATGGAATGTGGTGGGCTGGATTTCTCACCAGTAAGTGGCTTCTTTGCTACTCAGGACTGTGACCTATGGGGAGTAAGAAGAAAGAGGAAAGGCGCGTGCGACGGGGCATTTCTGCCTCTACTCTGCAAAGTGTGGAGCTGAGACTTAGCGGGCTTGGGAAACAGCTGGATGGGCTTTGTGGATAGAACATGTGAGCCCCTTTCAGATCACTTTCTCAATCAAAGGCAGTCTCCTTTCATGTACGAAGCATCTCTCCCAGAAATACATGTACACAGCTGCTGATAGACATGCCAATCCCCCTCAACTTCCCTTGAGCCCAGAGAGATACCATGAACAAGGCAGTAGCCTTGTTGGATTTTCCTGAATTTTTAAGTAACACGGTCAAGGATGGAACCCCTAAACCAGCTTCCTTCCCCACAGGCTATTGGCTGGTCCATTCAGAAGCTAACTGATCGACAGCAAAGGTTTTTCCACATTTGCTCACTCAAGTGTTTTCCCCTCTTTCCACCCTCCCTCTCTGACTTTCAAATGCAATGATTTTTTTTAATGAAGAATTGGCCAGTTTTCCATCTGTAATCCCCTAAACTAGGTTTGGATCCCAGTTAGCGGGAGCTATTAGGCCCTCACCTGCTGTCACAATGGAGACCCACACTTCTCCCCCAGCAGAAAGACAGAACATGCACCTGAAGGGGTTTTCAAACTGGAAACTCAAATGGAGAGGATTTGGGGATCTTGGGAATGTCAGACCTGTTACCATAATCATTTGTCCATGAGTTCTCCTGGGAAAGAGGAGCCTGTAGGGCAACTGGTGTGAATGCATTGAACTTATTATTATTATTTGATAATTAGCATTTTCCAGAACTGACCTGAGAGAGCCAGCCTAAAACACTGGCAGTTCATCAGACACACTTAAATATACCTGGACTGGCAGCCAAGACCCCTGAAGAATAAGAAGGCTGTTGCTTACAGGCTTGTCATGTGATCTTGAACTCTGGGTCTTCATGATCCCATCTCTAAAATGGAGAGATTTGAGCAGATTAGGCTAAGCTTGACTCTCTGATTAGACCTCCAGGGCGACAGAATCAGGACCCAGACTGTAAGGATGATGGGTCTGGGGTTCTGTGAAGGAATAAACATGGAATGAAGGAGTCTCTACACAGCCACTTCCGGGCTGAAGCTGGTGCGTGAACCACACTAACATGATTTCTCCCTTCATCTCCTAGTGGCCGCTGGAGAAGTTGCCAACTTTGGGGCCTATGCATTTGCTGCTGCAACCGTCGTCACACCCCTGGGAGCATTGAGTGTCCTCATCAGGTTATCCTCATCGCTCTTTCTCCGGCTCTTTCTTGTTATCAGTGGGTTGAAGCTGGGACTGCCACACACACACACACACACACACACACACACACACACACACAACCCCACGGCCATAAGGTCATTGTATAGGATTTCTGAGACTTTAAAAATCTCGACAGAAACAGAGAACCTCATCATTCTCCCCCAGAATGGCTGGAGGGTTTGAACCACCAGTGTTGTAATTAGCAGCACCACCAGAGCTCCTGGGAACCAGCTTTCGGATGCTGGTGACTTCTGGCCAGCCACATCTCTGTTTAGTGTTGCCGTCTCAGGACCACTCCAGATGCAACATTGACACAGTGAGAAAAACAAAACCATGACTCACCGTTGTACAATTGGCATAGTTGATGTCAAGTAGCTGTGATAACATGATCACACATCTCATGAATTTACAGGTCCCCACCCCTGGGAAGGTGGGGGAGGCGCTCAGTTCTCTGGGCCATGATCTCTGCCTTGTTGATACTGCAAGACTCTCTTGAACAAGGCATTATAGGAAAAAGGTTTTGGTAGGTTTAGAGGAATGCAGACAAGGTAGCTTAGACATCCATTTCATCTCTCCTTATGCCTTTAACTAGGATTTTTCAACTTAATTGGGTCCCGGGCCAGCCCACAGATTTTTGCCCTGAAACAATGCCACCTTGGTGAAGAACCAGAGTATACTCCAGTTTCTATACCTCGAGTTCCCTATTTCCTTATCTTCATCCCCCCCACCCCCACCACCTGGAGAGTATGAGGGGAAAGAACATCATGGCACTGGGGAACAGCAAGGGGCTGTGGGCTGAAAGCAGATGACTCAGGACGTCACAAGAATTTCCTTCAGTGAAGTGGAGAGGGACAACTGTAGGGGTTATAACTAAACATAACGAGTTCAGGCCTGCTACTCACCAGGTGTATGACCTGTCCAATTGATTTGACCTTTAATAAAATTCCATTTTTCGTCTATTAAATAGGGGTAGTATTTTTTCACTTCTTTAAAGTTGTGAGATCTTCGTGAGAAAATAAATGAGAGTTCCTAGTACTTATTGAAGTACTTATCTGTTGTTGAGTCAACGCCAACACGTCATCACCCCACGGAATAGAGCCGAACTGTCCCAGAGAGTTTCCAAGATGAATCTTTTAGCAAATCGTCTCATTGGAATGGCTCTTGGGTTTGAACTGCCAGCCTTCCAGTTAGCAGCTAGCTACATGTTTAACCACTGTGCCACCAGAGTTCTTCCAGTTTGTAACATAGTACTTTTTTATAATAGACCCTCAAGATGTCCTGCCTGTCAGTATGAGCATCGTGGAGGTGCAGTTGTACATACTGACATAAACAAATGGGAGAAGGAGTCGACATGTTCCTTATGAACACACATGAGACAGTGAGCAGAAATCATCACATAGAATCTTATTGGTCTGGAGGCTCTGGGTGATGCAAATGCTTAACCAGGTGTGGTTACTAACCAGAAGGTTGGAGGGTTGAGTCCACTCGGAGATGCCTCAGAAGAAAGGCCTATTGCTCTGTTTCTGAAAATACAGCCACTGGAAACCCTGTGGAGACCAGTTCTACTCAGACAGACGTGGCCACCATGGATTGGCATCAACTTGATGGCAAGTGGTCGCTATGGGTCGCTGTTGACTCCATGGCAGTGAGTAGAGTTCTGCCGGTCTCTAATTATAGTGATCCGACCACTGATGAATCTGCTTGCTGAAGGGAGAGTTCCATGCCCCAGGAAAGCAGAAAGCAATCTGTCAGCAATGTCAAAGAGAGCTTATGTTCATCGAGCAGACAAGAGGAGAAATTCGACAAGAATGCTTTAAAAACGGCTCTCCCAAGTCTTCTGTTTTAGGATACTCCCAGTGTGCAATGTGGGCCAAATCCACTTCCTTTCTAGTTCTCCAGCCCACACTGCAACCGGCCCACACATGACTTTCTATGTGAAACAGGCTTGGAGATGTAGAAAAGCTTCCACGTGAGGGAGTGATGAATCCTGCCCCTGGGACTGCCACGCCTGGTTTAATCACTCTCCCCATTTCCACCTGCAGTGCCATCCTCGCCTCGTATTTCCTGGGAGAGACCCTGAATCTACTGGGGAAGCTGGGCTGTGTCATCTGTGTGGCCGGCAGCACCGTGATGGTGATACACGCCCCCGAGGAAGAGAAGGTCACCACAGTCATGGAGATGGCTTCCAAGATGAAAGACACAGGTGAGCCCCAAGCACCCATGTGCACCAAAGCGCTGCGGTGGATGGTGGGCATGGTCAGACTGGGCTCTGCTGCTAGTTAGCAGAGGCAGCGTGAAAGGAAATTGGTGGGCTGGTGCTTCTTAGCAAGGCTACCTTACAAGGACCCTTGGTGACATAGTGGTTTCACATTGGACTGTGACCATCCAGGTCAGCTGCTCTGCCGGAGAAAGACGGGGGTTTTTCAGTCACATAAAGAGTTCTGGTCTCAGAAACCCACTGGGGCAGTTCTACCCTGTGCTATAAGGTCGCTGTGAGTCGCATCGACTCGATGGTCGTGAGTTTGGTTTTGGTTATTACAGGCTTCTTGGCCTGTATCATTTATTATACAATATGTAACATTTAATCGATGAACCGATAATATGTGGTATAATAGATATGCTGTCTATGAAGTGTTGGTTATTTGCCGGGTCCAATTTTAAATCCTTCATGCTTAACAGCTCATTTATTCCTACAAAACAACCCTGTGAGGAAGGTCCGAGTATGAATTCTATCTTACAGATGAGGACATCTTCCCAACTGGTTTCAAAGTAATAACATTCAAAGGGGAATCCGGGCTTGACTCTAGGGCCCAGGTCCTGAATGCTACACTCGTGGCCCTAGCCTGAGGCTTGAGCGAGAATCATAGTATGCCCAACTCAGTGGTCTGTCTCTCTGCCTCCTCTCCTGCAGGGTACATCGTGTTTGCTGTGCTGATGCTGGTGTTCTGCCTCGTCCTCATCTTCATCGTGGCCCCACGTTATGGGCAGAGGAATATCCTGGTTTACATCATTATCTGCTCCGTGATCGGGGCCTTCTCCGTGTCCGCCGTCAAGGGTCTGGGCATCACCATTAAGAACTTCTTCCAAGGGCTGCCGGTTGTGCGGCATCCTCTGCCCTACATCCTGTCCCTCGTCCTGGCAGTTTCTCTCAGCACGCAGGTCAATTTCCTCAACAGGGCCCTGGACATTTTCAACACCTCCCTGGTCTTCCCCATCTACTATGTGTTCTTCACGTCCATGGTGGTTACCTCCTCCATCATCCTCTTCAAAGAGTGGCACAGCATGTCGGCCGTGGACATCGTAGGCACCCTCTCTGGCTTTGTCACCATCATCCTGGGGGTGTTCATGCTCCACGCTTTCAAGGATCTGGATGTCCGCTTGGCTAGCTTGCCCCACATGCACAAAAACCAAACACCAACCCCAGTTCCTGCCCCAGAGCCCACTGTCATTAGGCTGGAAGATAAGAACGTTCTTGTGAACAATATGGAACTTTCCAGGACCCCATCTCCAGAAGAGAAGCCCAAAGTATTTACAATCCAATCCTAAAACTTGGAATACACGAGAGAGAGGTTTAGGGCTATGATATACAGCCGGGCCTTTCCATCTCAGAACCACTGGTTATTTTCAGCCTGTTACCAATGGGAGTGTATTGCCTGCTGCCTACAGGCTATCTTCCCTTGAGAATTTTATCTATACCTCATTACTGTTTCCAGGAGAAGCATCCCTATCCAGTGAGGGGGGGGGGTGCCAGAAACTGCCTGGGACACAGCCTTAGCAACCAAATAAGCCTGGTCTACCTGGGTGCCAGTAGGTCTTCTGGACCTCCCTTCCTATTTGTGCCCATGGTGTCATCTCTGGTGGCTTAGATTGTTGGGAGGAAGACAGAAAGTGACCCTTTGAATGTAGCAGAGTCTGAGAACTTTCCTGAGATGTTAGTTGTTGAGGACTCCTTAGCACCAATTCTCATGTTGAGATCGAATCACGTGCCTTAGGATTTCTAAGGAGCCAAGGACGAGGTGCAGATGACACCCAGATGCTCTGAGAGGGGGTGGTTTGCCTCCCTACTGAGAGCGGACAAAGATGCAACAAATCAGAACTGTCTTGTTGCTTTTGCCACATCCTCTTCCAAGACACGAGGAAGACCTCAGCTGACCTTACTGTGAAAGCCATCTGATGTCTCAGGGAAAAAGTCTGAGCTGCCCATTTCCCAAGGACTCCAGCCTGCCAGTCAGCATCTTCGTTTCCATCCACCTCACCCTCACCCCCACCCCCACCCCTTCTGGCTCACTTTTGACGTCCCAAGGAGTCTGTCACTGAGACCTTCATCCCAGACGCAACCCACAAAAGATGCTTCACAGCCCAGCTGCTGGCCACATTCTGGAACGAGGACAGAGCTGCTCTGCTCTTAGAAATGGCTTGGCTCTTGAGTTAGAGTTTGTCAAAAGACGCTTTCCTTTTCCTCAAGGAGTAAGACCAAAATGTGATTTGTGGAGGTGAGAGGAAGTGTGAGCTGGCCCCGGCCCTCTGGAAACCAAAGGCAAACTGTTGTGTTTGCTCTGGCGCCCAACCAAGAGTCTGGGCAGGAGGGTTCTAGGGTAATTTCTGGCCTGTAGCCTCAGAAGTTTGGCTGATGGAATCAGTTTTGAGCCTCCGTGACCAAGCGGGGGTGCAGACTTGGCATGAGATGCTTTCTGGCTGTGGGCCAGATTGCCATCAAATCCCCAACATCACTGGTGAGCTGCCTACACTGGGAGGCCGCCTGCCATGGCTGCTCCAACTCCACCTGCTGTGGGGATAGCCTTTGGTCTCCTCACATGTGGCCAGAGATGTCCAGTAAGCGAGAGCAGCCGGAGAAAGAGATTATTTATTTCCCTTCCTTTCCCATCTTCTTTCTAGCTGTGCCTGTGGGGTGTGTGTGTGTGTGTGTGTGTGTGTGTGTGTGTGTGTGTGAAGACCATTGGGAAGGGAACTGAGGGAGCCAGGCTAGCTGGAAAGAGGAAAGTCTTGATTCACAACCCTCTAGTTGGTTCATAACACACACACACACACACACACCCCACTTATTTCCCCTTTATTGTGTCCTGTGTGTCCCTTGGCATGAGTTTGACCATGCTCCAAAGGCTGGGTTGGGCAACAGACAGGCTCCTTGCAGCTCCAGTCGAAAGTCCTCAGTTTTTAATCAATGTGTATTTCTTGTCTGTAACTAAAATCAATGCAATACATTGGACCTTGAGACAGGAAATAAGCTGAGGGACCTGAGTATGGTCTGCAGCATCAAGAATAAAGACTTCAGAGTCTGTTTGCTGATGTTTGTGTCCTGGCCATCCTTAGGCCAAGAATGGTGGTGAGCGTTAGGGATTAGGTCAACTACACACTCCTGGATAAGGGTAGGGCGACGCCCAAAACATCAATCAGGTGACACCTTGGGAGTGTGACCTTTTGCATAAGAGAGACTGAACAGAGCCGAATGCTCTTTGGCCCTCTCCCGTGACCAAAGATGGATCTGGCATCTGGTTCCTCCATCTCCTGTTGCCATCAGCAGATGGTGGATTCCCAGGAGCCATCAGCAGATCGTGGATTCATTCAGCAGACTTGGGATTCATATTACCTCTGCACCCACCAGCCCATGCCCCCTGCCGTCTCTGCTTCGCCCTCCTGCTTCCTGATCATCAGCTTCCACAAGTCAGGAGAAGCCTGCCTTGAACTGGACTGGATTTAACCCATTTCTATCACTGTGGAAGCCATTTCTTGATATAAATTTCTCTATCTACAAACACATGCAAGCTTCGCTGGATTTGCTTCTCTAGAGAACCCAGCCTAGCACAGTGAATAGATCGTGGTGTAGTGCTGACCAACCAAAATCAATGAGACAGGAAATAAGCTGAGGGACCTGAGTATGGCCTGCAGCATCAAGGATAAAGACTTCAGAGTCTGTTGGTCCCCGTCCCTGACGGGTGTACCAGTTAACCAGTTGCCATTGAGTTGCCTCAGTGTGTGTCAGATTAGAACTGTGCTCTACAGGGATTTCAATGGCTGATGTTTTGGAAGTAGGTGGCCAGGCCTTCCTTCTCAGGCATCTCTGAGTCCACTCATTCAGTTAGCCATCAATCATGTCAATAGACTGCATCTCCCCTGGACTTCCTGAAGGGGCCTGGCTGCAAGAAGTGCTTCTCTCTAGAGTGGGGGGAGCTGTCTTTAGAATGAAGTGTGTTGAAAACCTTAATCCCCTATTAAAACCTTCATCCCCCTAAGTCCTCCCTAGGTGCCAGGCACAACATTAGTGTTTCACGTGACTTCTCACTCGAGAGTCTCACAACACATTTTTATACCTGAGGGAAGGAGAAGTCAAGTGGTTTGCCCCATGTCACCCAGACAGAAGCTTCAAAGTCACACCAAGCGTTGTGTCCACTTTGTCAACCACTGGGGCACACTGAGCCTCTCCAGAAGACCAAACTGGTTTCCAAGTGCATGATCTAGTATTCCTTTGTTAATTTATTTTTTTCCAAATCATTTTATTAAGAGCTAAGCCAGACATCATACCATTCCATGGCTCAGTCATACCAAGCAGTGCTGTACAACACAACCACCATCATTTCCAAACATGTTCTTCCTCCTTGATCTGGGTATCCGCTCTCCCTGACCCCACCAGCTCCTCTGCTGTTTCCCCGAGAAATCTTTATTCTAGTTGTTGTCTCTATAGATTTACCTACTCAGATACTGAAAACCATAGAAAAACACATAACAGAGTCAAGAAGGCCACCCACAATGACGGAATACAATAGATAAACTCCAATATGAAAAAAAAAAAAGGACAGGAAATTGTATGATCTAGATCAAGCACAAAGTGTATCTGAAGGGCTATATTTGGATTTTAACCTTCAAGTCTGATTTACTATTTTAATCCACTACAGTCTTCTCTCCAATACTTTCTATCTGATAACCAGGTTATTCCCATCCCTCAATCGTGGTAAGAGGGGTATCATAGGAGGCTTATTCCCTGTGTAGGTCCTGCAAATAAATTCTGGGCTTCGTCTGACATCCATAGCCTTCTGCACACCAGATTCTCACAGTATTCGTTCTGACACTATTCCCTCCTTCGAATTTGGATAATATAATTTACAATCCTTGGATCGTGGATGTTGGTGTGTTTCTTCCATGTGGGCTTAATTGACATCTCATTTAGATGGCTGCTTGTTTGAAAACAAGCCTTTAAGACCCCAGACGGTATTACTTATGATAGCCGGGCATCATCTAGTTTCTTCACCACACTTTGCTATAGTGTCCATATTTCTTTCATGAGGGTGAATGTCCAGAGGTCCATGTCATAACAACTAATTGTTAGTTTGGATTTTTGTTTGGAACCCAAAATCCATTCCTGAATCTATGTTTGTTTGATTTTTAAATCATATTGGGGGCTCATACAACTCTTACCACAATCCATACATACATCCATTGTGTCAAGCATATTTGTACATTTGTTGCCATCATCATTCTCAAAACATTTGCTTTCTACTTGAGCCCTTGATATCAGCTCCTCATTGTCCCCCTCCCTCCCTGCTCCCCACTCCCTCATGAACCCTTGATAATTTATAAATTATTATTATTTTGTCATATCCTACATTTCTCCCTTCATCCACCTTTCTGTTGTCCATCCCCCAGAGAGAGGGTTATATGTAGATCCTTGTAATCAGTTTCCCCCTTTCTACCCCATCTTCCTTACACCCTCCATGTATCACCACTCTCACCACTGGTCCTGAAGGGATCATCTGTCCTGGATTCCCTGTGTTTCCAGCTCCTAGCTGTACCAGTGTGCATCCTCTGGTCTATCCAAATTTGTAAGTTAGAATTGGGATCATGATAGTGGAAGGGGGGAACATTAAAGAACTAAAGGAAAGTTGTATGTTCCATCATTGCTACCATGTACCCTGACTGGCTCGTCTCCTCCCCGAGATCCTTCTGTAAGGGGATGCCCAGTTGCCTACAGATG